TGGGGGTGATTGGGATGGGGTTTGGTTCCATTGGGAATGTGGAGAGTTGGGGTGAATGGGAAAGGGTTTGGGTCCATTGGGAATGTGGAGAGTGGGGGTGATTGGGATGGGGTTTGGTTCCATTGGGAATGTGGAGAGTGGGGGTGAATGGGAAAGGGGTTTGGGTCCATTGGGAATGTGGAGAGTGGGGGTGATTGGGAAAGGGTTTGGGTCCATTGGGAATGTGGAGAGTGGGGGCGATTGGGAAAGGGTTTGGGTCTATGAGGATTGATCGCTGTAATCTGCTGTTAGTTGTCGGTCTGCTATCTTTCGTGGTTTAATTGGGTTAATCTGACAGGAGCGATTCCATTCACAAAATGATGGCGGCCTTTTTCTGTCCCTGTAGCCTCCTTCACAAAGTACACTCAGCTGATCTGCTACTGCGTGCTGACTGAGATGGACATTGAGGAAGAGGAGAAACTTCAGGAGAGGAAATTATCCTGACCCTGAGACTAGGCCTTCAGCCTGGCCCTGTGGCTGCGTCGGAGTTCCCTTCCCTGATGGAATGACTAAGGCCTGCAGGATAGGCTTCGGTCCCCGGGCCTCCCGATGAGACACAGGCGGACTCACTAATCACCAATTACTGATTGGGGGGGAGATATATTTAAGTTGATGCACTTGTATCCTGTTGGGCCTCTGTTCACTGCTCCTGACACTGTTGTCACGGTGAAAGGTACAGGCCTGGCCTTTGACCCCTGCCACCATGTTCACTGCCTTTCTGCAAATAGACAATGGCCTCGCTGCTGTTCAGAGGCTGTATCCGTGCGCTCTGTCCCGTCCTCTCCCTCTCCTTGCGTATCCCTTATCACCTTGCATTCCTCTTCCTTGCTGTGCTGCCAACTTCGCTCGCTCTCTCTCCTCCTCCGTCTCATCCAGCCCATCTCTCCTCCGCTCACGTTCACTCTATCCAGCCTTCCTCTTCCTCCTTCCCTCACGCCCTCCCCCATTTCTCCTCGCCCTCCTTCTCTTCATCTCCCCTCCCTCCTTCCACCTCCCCTCCTTCCCTCTCCAGCCCTCCCTTCTCTACTTTCCCTCCCTTTTTCTGCCTCTCTCCGACTCCCTTCCTGCCCTCCTCCCCTTCCTGCTGTACCACCATCCCCTCACTCCATTTCCTGTCTTTGTCTCTCGTCCTCCTCCCAGCCCCTTTTACTCCACCCCATCTCTGTCCCCTGCGACCGTTCCTCTCCATCCTTTGCTCTCCACCCGCTCTCCCTCCGCTGCGCCCCACGCCCCTGCAAACCTCCCCCAAATCCTCCGTCCTGAGACAGGATCCCTGGTGGGCCTGTTGGCTATATAGTGAACAATGTCAGGAGACTTTTGCAGACGGATCTGCGTTTCAAATGATTAAATTGTGGGTTTGACAATGAGCAGATCTGATCAATCTCTCTCGCGCGTTACGTTATAAGTCAGAACGAGAAAGGGACTAAAACAAGACAGAGCCTGACGTTTAGCTTAACTCAAGTATCCACCGAACATTCATGGAGCGCTGATCCAGTAACGTAGTGAGGCACAGGAACACAAGAGATCTAAGGAATTTCCAGGCAGATATTGGCATCAAAAACCCAGCAGGCGCATTAAAATGGGGCACAGTGTGAACCTGTCCAGGAACTGAAACACAACTAGACTTGCCTCTTGCAACCTTTCCCCACCACCACCACTGCTCACGACTGATCATTCAATTCAGTTCCCACATTACGCACCCCACCCATCTCCCTTTTGGTTCCCTATAGCCGTAGGGGTTTTCTCGAAAACATTCGATGTTTCGGGCCCCGACCGCTTTCTGTGCCAGAGAATCCAACAGGCTCCCCTCTCTCTCTGGGCAAAGCCATTTATCCTCATCTCAGTCCGATCCCGTCTCCTTTAGACTGTGACATGTGAGGCATTGGCAGACTGAGTAGACAAGGTCTTTTCCCCGGGGTGGGGGTGTCCAAAACCAGTGGGGCACAGGTTTAAGGTGAGAGGGGGAAAGATTTAAAAGGGACCTGAGGGGCAACTTTTTCACACAGAGGGTGATGTGTGTGTGGAACGAGCTGCCAGAGGAAGTGGGTGGAGGCTGGTACAATGACAACATTCAAAAGGAGTCTGCCTGGGTACATGGATAGGAAGGGTTTAAGAGGGATATGGGCCGAATGCTGGCTAACGGGACTAGATTAATTTAGGTCGGTGTGGAATGAGTTGGAACGAAGGGTCTGTTTCCGTGCTGTGTATCTCTATGGCTCTGTTCTGCTCATATTGGTGAGACCGCATCTCAAATACTGAGAGTGCAGTTTTGGTCTCATTTAAGGAGGGATAAAAATGTGATTTTATAGGGAAAGGTTGGACAGTCTGGCCTTGTGTCTACCGGAGTTTTGCAGAGTGGGGTGTGACTTGATTGGTGTACACAACATCCTGAACTAAGGGGCCACTGTTCTGATTTTAAATTCATTAATCGGAGGCTATCCCTTCCCCATGGGATGGTGCTGAGGAGAACTACTTCCTCTCTCGGAGTGGCCCTCGGAACCCCTTGCCTCCAGAGGTGCTGCAGGTTTGGGTCAGAGGGAGGTTTGTCCTGGATGGTGTCAGGCCAACCAAGGATGGTAATGGCACTGCCAGGGATTTGAACCCGGATCCCCTGGCCCACAGGCAGAGACACTACCCCTACGCCACAGCAGCCTCACGTGACACCCTCAGGGGATGGGCTGAGCCGATGATGTCACAGTGAGGGGCGGCGCTCGCGGTGGGGGGCGGGGCTCGATGTGGAACCGTGCCGACGCTGAGGCGCTGACGCATTTGGGGGCGGGGAAGCTGACGTCGCCGAGAGGGGCGGAGTCCGCAACGTCAATCACATTCCCGTGGCGCGTGAATGGCCCGTGATAACAGAGAGTGGGAAGATGTTGTTCAACGATGGGGCGGGGTTAGTGATGTCACTCAAAACGCCTGTTTTATGATTTGTCCAATGGGGAGGGCGGTTGCCTGACGTCAACACGGGAGGTGGGGCTATTGGAGTCAATCAAAAGGCAGCCATTGTGATTGGTCCGTTATGGAGCGAGGCTGTGATGTCATCGGAATGGGCGGGTGGTCGAAAACGAGCGGAAGGAATGTGTGACCTTGGAGGCGGGCAGGAATCCATGATGTCACCGAAATGGGCGGTACAATCACTTGCCCCCCCCCCATGGTGATATGATTGGTCCTTAACAAATGGGGCGGTGCGGATGACGAAAAGCCGGGACATCACTCAGAAAGACGGGAACCTGATTCGTCGTGGCGGCAGAAGTGGGCGGGGATAGTGACCGAGTCTCCGCCACATTCACGTTCCGCGCAGCCGCACCACGGACAAACCGTCACCCGCGCGGCGGTAGGGGCCGAGGCAAGATGGCGGCGGGGATCCTGGTCAGGTCAATGAGGAGCTGGAGGATGGTAAAGTGAGAGATATACAGGGGGATATAATGTGTAATATTTCATAGAATAATGTGTAATGTCACAATGGTGTTTACAGTAATAATAGTGAGTAATTATCACAACAATATGTAATAACATGTAATATCACGTAACAGTATAACAGGAACTGCGCCCCACCTCGCCACAGGGAGAAGGTTTGAAGGGGCCGGCAGTTAAGATGTTGGGATCTCAGCCTCAGGATGTTGTGAAACTAGGAAGGGTTCGCAAAAGGATGTTGCCAGGGTTGGAGGGTTTGAGCTACAGGGAGAGGCTGGGGGCTATTTTCCCCCGGAGCGTCGGGGGCTGAGGGGGTGACCTTATAGAGGTTTATAAAACCACGAGGGGCATGGATAGGGGTGAATAGACAAAGTGATTTCCCACAGGGTAGGGGAGTCCAAAACTATAGGGGCATAGGTTTAAGGTGAGAGGGGGAAAGATTTAAAAGGGACCTGAGGGGTAACTTTTTCACGCAGAGGGTGGTGCGTGTATGGAACGAGCTGCCAGAGGAGGTGGTGGAGGCTGGTACAATAACAACATTTAAGAGGCATCTGGATGGGGACATGGACAGGAAGGATTTAGAGGGATATGGGCCAAATGCTGGCAAATGGGACTTGATTAATTTAAGACATCTAGTTGACATGGACATGTCAGACAGAATGGTGTGTTTCTGTGCTATCTGTCTCTCTCTCTCTTTCCCCAACTTCCCCTCTCTCCCTTCCCGCCAGATGCAGAAATCTTGGTCCTGTGGCTCCGGCTCACGGACGGCCCCGTGCCCCCTGTGCGCGCCAGCATTCCTAGGCACTGCCCGTCACAGCTTGGGCTCTCGTCTCATCCTCCTGTCCCCAGCCGGCGTGCGGTACAGCAGTACAGAGCCTCCCCCGCAGGTACTGGTTCTCTCTACGTTCGGCGGGAGGGATGCATCAGTCTCAAGATTGGCCCCTTTGGACCCTAGCGAGGAGGGATTGTGTCGTCCAGAGCTCGGTGCGACATCGCTCGCAGCTCCGGCTCTGCGTCACAGGGCACTGTTTTTGGAAGGAAATGGTTCCCCACGGGTCGAAGGCGTGGAGGGAGCCAGGCAGACAGCCGGAGTGCGATGCTGCCGCAGCGGATCAGCCACGGGCCCCATCAAATGGGAGATCAGGCCCGAGTGGCCTGCTCCTGGTCACTCTACACCTCCCTGGGTCGGGCTGGCAGACTCTCAGCTTGGGCACTGGGCACGGGTGGAGGGCGAGGGTCCGAGACCCACTGCTGGGCATGGAGGCAAACTCTCTTTCCCCTCTCCGGTGCTGTCAGTCGGAGGAAGGGGAGGAGGAGAATATGAATGGAGCGAGTGGGGACAGACTGATTGAGCGGAGAAATAACAATGTTCTTTTGCCACCTCCCTCCCTCCAGGTGTCCCTTGGCGAAGAGGTTGCCCAGTCAACATCGGTGCCCGCTGCAGTGCCCACTCCACCGGCTGAGCTGCTTGATGCCGCCGGAGATCTGGTGCGGGAGGCAGGGCTGGTGGAGCTGGGCTTGGGAGGGTACACTCCTGTCGGCATGGTTCAGAACATCCTGGAGTTCATGCACCTTGACCTGGGCCTGCCCTGGTGGGGGGCCATCGTGGCTGGTGAGGACCTGGTGGGGGTTGTGGGTTGGGGGGTGGAGGCGCACAGTGTTTCAGGGTTGTTACTACCCTCCCCCTCA